AGGAAAAAACAACACAGTGCTTCTCTCCACATGATCAATAATGAGGGCACAGAATCTAACACCTTTGTTAAAGTATATATAATTACGTATGTTTTCCACAATAAGCAGGATATACTCAGACCATCACTTTGCTGGACACCGATTAATTTTTTTATGACTTGCTGCCAAAACAAGTAAAATAATGATTTACGTACAGGTAAGAATAACATCTACAGAAGTAAAAATTGCCAACTTTTCAAATTAAAGCATGTTCCATACCTGAAACTTCTGGCATGCCTGTATTTCAAAAGCAAACTGTATTACCACATATTTTAGAAATAGTAATATAAAACGTCTGACAGGGCAGTAATATTATTAACATGGAAGGCACAAAAACGACATCAATTTATAAGTTAGAAGCTAAAATGCCTCTGAGCTAGCTTTAAACCAGCATGTGGAAACCGTTGCTTGCCCACGACTCTAATACATTCTAAAAGTTTCTTTTTCTCAACATTCTTCTGAGGACACTGGCCAGATTGTCCCCCAGGCAATCCTGGGCTCTTTCTAACAAAAGCAGCCAACAGTCTCCACAACACTCCTTCACAGTGCCTGCACCCCAGTCTACATGCACAAATCCTTCAAAAAGAGCTTGAATTGCTATTCCTTTCCACCCTTCTTCCACAAAGAGCAAGAAACATACTGGAAGATATTTCACAAGGTCATCGCAAAAACAGAATAAATATGACATCATTTTTGGTCAAAATAAAGTTACATCCAACTATGACAAAGGAAATACTTCATACTTCATCTTTAATCATCTTCAGCACCAAAGACATGAAAAAGAAATGATATTGTGTAAGAAAAGGACTTTCTTCTTGCTCATCATCTGCACACAACTGCATTTCCCCCTAACCCTAAGCTCTTGATCAGCTCTGCCTGCATCTTTGTTTGCGCCCTTCCGGTCTCAGGTGACTGGCCTGCAGAGGGAAGCGAACGGCACATACTTTTATTCTGTAATTTATTGGGAAATTTCTAAATTTACTTTAGTACCCAGAGGAAAAGACAGGAGTGACCTAGCCTACTGAGGAGAACTGAGGGAAGGCTCACTGAAATTACAAATAATAAATAATGAAGACCAACCTAGAAAGAAATTCAGACAAAATTCATTTCAGCACTTAGAAAAGCTCTCATGTACAAATGCATGATGGCTGTTCTACATGGTGCTAGAGATAACTTGGAAACCATTTCAGTGTTTCATAATTTGGCAAAATGTGAACTGAGAAAACTGAGAATTAGGTACTAAGAATAAATAAAATACCATGACAACACGTGCACTCCGATTCTCTCTTCCCTTACTAGAATGCAACACTGTAGAGAGGGGACAAGCAAAAAAGGGCACAGTTTTATGCCCAAAGTAAATCTAGAATATTTTATATTTTAGAAAATCAAGAACTACTCCAAGAACCCAAGACAACCCACACTCATACCATTTTGAACAAATTTGGGTAAATCCTGGTCATTGGAATTATACAGACACTAAAAGAAAACTTTCTCAGTGATGTGCACTGAACTCCAGTAATTAAAAGATCATGAGCAAAATTATGGTTAATTAAGTACTTCAATTTTCTTTTGCTATCATTTGAATTATTGCCTCTCAATCCTACTTCCCCTCCATAAAAAATAATTTTTCGTAATTTTACGAAGTCACAGTGACTCAGTATAAAATTTGCACCTTTGAGAGCATTTTCCCTGTTATAGAGATGGATGGCAGGGCCATGTACAGGCAGTCTCAGTGCCACCTGGAGGATTACAAAACGCAGACACTCGGGCCTGGCTCACGGAGATCCCACGGTAAACAAGCGCCCAGGGGGGTTTCATAAACAGAACACTTTTTTAGAGAATTGTATTGTTTAGGTGAGCTGTAATGCTTTTTTTATTGTTTAGGAGAGGTGTAATACTTTTTTTTGTTAATCTAAAAGCAAAACAGGTGTCAAAATCTTTACTCAGAGTAGCTGCCAAAAATAGTAAAAAAACACTGCAGGCTGATTAGGTCAGAATCAAATTTCAGAGCATTGGAAAAGGGCCATACACCTGACTACACACAATCACTCAGTATGAATAATGCATCCAACAACACCTGTGGATTTGGATATTGTGATTCTGGATTATTAATTCTATTTTTCCCAGTCACAACATAAAGTGGGCCCTTTAATCTAGGAAGCTCATTCAAAAAGTTCTAATCTCACTCACACACACACACACACACACACACACACACACACACACACATTTTAAGTATTTCTGGGCAATTAAAATCATGATTTAAAGCTATTCAGTCTGTGGTGATTGTACCCTCTAGCGTTTTTCTCCTTGAAAACTGAATTTAATATAAAACTGTCTAAAAACTTATTTTACATAATAATATTCAAAACATTTTTCTCAGGTCAAAGGATTTTTTTTACTTGCATAGGAAATATAATAAAAGATTCTAGAAAATATAGATTCCTCATCAAATTTGCATAAGAATACAAAATCTAAAACACATTTTAGTAAGGAACCTATGATTTTAATATGCAACTATTTTAGAAGATCATACAGTTTGCCTTATCATTGGTTTTTATGTGTGATCTAATAATTCTGTTAAAGCAGACTGTATTATTTTCCATTGCTGACTGACAAATTACCCCAAAGGTCTAAACAAGAATACCACCCACCTTAACTTAATTGATCTTCATAGAACCCCGAGGCCAAAAATTGCAGGATACACATGATTCTCAAGTACACAGGGATCGTCCACCTAAAATGCCGTTTACTGGGCCATAAGTCTCGATACCATGTCACAAGATTTTTGTTTAATCATATTGTTGCTTATCTGCATCTCAATATTCTTCCTACTCACAACGTAACCTCTGTTTAGAGTGTGTATGTGGACTGCGGACGCAGGGAAGAAGAAGGAGAAAAAGCAGCCTGTACTTCCTAAACCTCTAAGGCACTAGTGCATGGCGCTGAACGGAAGGAGTCCATTTACCTCAGTGTGCTCGGAGCACTCGTTCCAGCACCACCAGTCTTACTCATACAACCATCCAACACCACAGTGGGATGTTTCAAGCAATACAGCAGAGCTGGGCATATCGCAGAGGCCATCTTAGAGCTAGGTTTTGGTGACTTCTATATGCTACAGTTAATGGACATGAAAATACATTTCTAACAACTCAAAGACAAAAAGCAGGCTACTATTCAATCCTTTTTATCTAAAAGAAAAAGTATGTGTGTGTCTATATCAAAAGAAAAAGAAGGGTCAGGATGCAAAGCCCACTCAATACCCAACAGTGATAAGCTTTGGACAGGCATGGGATACAGGTGATTATTTCTTTCTTTACATGTTGACTTTTCCCTATAAGGAGCTGTATTATTTTTATAGGAAAAAAAAAAAAAACCAAAGGAGGCAGGGAGGGGAGAAGGAAGGGAAGGAGAAAGGGAAGGGGGGGAACAAGGAAGAGGAAGGGAAAGAGGAAAATATTGAAAGGCCAATACAACATTGGTTCATCTCTTGCTAATATTATGGCTGGGAAAGGGCACCTTCTTTAAACCCTTCCTAAATCTCTGCAGTTGTCTTAAGCTTTGGAGCTGAACCACACCATAAACTGACGCTAATTTATGTCTCTAGATGGTACTTTTCGTGTGGATTGCAGGGCAAGGATTTGAGTCACCTATTCCTGGCTCACTGAAAAGCCCAAAACTGATAAATGGCACCAAGAGCAACAGCAGTAAATGATACATGGGCAGGAAAGTCCTGCATTTCTGACACAATGTGCTCCTGGCCCACAGAAGCCACAAAGGACAAACCCCACCAGGGCAGGTGCTAGGGAATCAAACACCCCTGAAGGTAACAATAACTGGTACTTGAAGTTTATCATTTGTCTTAAGATTTCAAGAAAACATGTAAGACATCCCCATTCTGAGGAGGCACTGCACTAATGCAGAAGGAAACAGGACAACAGCTGTGCTGACCAGGCTCGCAGCCAAGGGGAGGGGAGCCTGGAGGAGGAGGCACAGGGCCAGTAATGGGAGCTCCCTGGCACAGGCGATTTTACCATCTTCCAACCCCATGACATAACGCCTCTGGCTTAACCCACCTTGTGCTATTACAGGGCCTTGATGACACAACTGTGTATGGGGCTGTGGGCCCTTCCATCACTTCGTTCTAAGTCAACACAAAAGAGGGTGTGGCCAAAGCCGGCTCAGTTTTCATTACCTCTTACAATAAAGAATTTGCTGACTTCTACATGCAGAGCCAAATATCCTATCACAAATTCTTAAATTGTTGAGTCATTCCTCCCCCTCCCCCTCCCCCTCATTCCCTCAAAGAGTGCAGACAAAAAGGTGGGTACAGGCTAATGCTGCAGTGCCTGTGGGCAGTCACGTTCATGATGCCAAAATCACGGGCTACCCTGGAGATGGCATTCCAGTAGAAGCACCCTAAGAGTAACATGGAGGAGAGGAAGGCTTTCTGAGCGCCCAGCACACAAGGGGGATCCCTGGGGTGCACGCTGGCTTTGTGGCCAGGCAGTGCATCGCACAGGCTGACTGGCGGAAGGGGCCAGTGTGGGATCAGAACTCAAGACCATCGAAACACAGTGATTTAATGACAGGCCTCAGTTGTCAGGAAAGACGTTATGTTTGGTTAAAATAAGAGGAAAAATGGCACAAAAACCCTTGTAAAGATATTTCCATTTATAAAGTTTTAATTTTAAAATCCCAAAACTTAGCACCGAATCCCAGGTATCAAGAAAAGCATTATACCCTAGAGTTCAGGGGAGTGAAGATTCACAATACTTATTATAAAACAAACATGCCAGAATGAGTGGCAAATGTTCTTTAAAGTGTGTGTGTGTGTGTGTGTGTGTGTGTGTGTGTGTGTGTGTGTGTAAAAACAGGAAGGAAAGTGTTCCCACCTACCCACTCCCTCCCCAGTCTTCACAAAATGCATTCAGAGCAGCTTCCCCTGGGCTTGAACTCACTCTGTCTTTGTCATCTGCTACATCACAGAGGATGTCATCTAGGTCCAGTATTCCTCCATCTCCGTGTTCCAGTCGGTGCACCTGTATCCAATAGCTTGGATCCTGTACAGAAGAACAGAAACATCAAATCCAGGCAGTGAACATCACCAAAAGGAAATGCAACAATTTTAACTGAAAGAATTCCCTGCCATAGAAAGGAATCGACCCATCAACAAAACTGCAATTGATGGAAAATTCAGCTCTCTCCCTATCTCTTCTACTGAGTCATTTTTCCTTTTCTTTTATGATGGAGTCACCCATACATATTCTTTCCTTTGGCCCAGATGTTGCTACACTATTAGGATAGGAACTGCAAAAACCAGCAAAATGCACTGCATCACAAATATTGATTTCTCTAACGTATGCTGGGTTTCCTACTGTCCACCTCTGAATCCAATCCACAGAAATAGTCTAATAAGCAAGCAACGCAGAGTGTATATCTGAAAAACTAATGTCACAGCCTATCTGAATAAAAGGAGCTTGCTCAAAGTACTCCCTACTAACAGGCCTGAACACACTGACATGGTCAATGTGCACAAGGCCGTAAGTGAACAAAGCAAGCTCAGAACAATGTGTGTGATTTGCACCTATTTTTGTAACAGCAAAATTATATACACTTGTATATGTATAAATAAAAATGCCCCCAAAAAAAATACACACCAAAATTTGCAGTGGTTATCTCTGAAAAGTGGTATTAGAAGTAAAGGACTTCATTTTAAATACAAACATTTCTACATGGGGTGTGTATTGTGTGTACATGTATACATACATACATACACAAACAAAAACCATGTTTTAAAATTATTTGAAGAGAACATAGTTGTTCCTTTTTAAATTTCCATAATCATTCTCATTTGTATACGCAAATGAATTTAATATACTAAATTGTATGTTTTCCCATTAGCTACTGAATTAACCATACAGAATTTCTAACAAAAATTCAAGTGAACAGTCCATTTTTCTTATGTAAACAGTGATATTAAGCATGGTTCTTTCTTAAAGAAGAGGCT